CAATGCCTTCTTTCCTCCCGTAGAGGAAATTCCATATGCCCTAATACAGGTGCACATGGAATTTAGATAACACCTACTGCATTAGACCATTTCTGTTGCTAATAACGCAATACCACAGAATGAAGTTTTTTAGCTCATGATCCTGGAGGCTTGAGTTCAAGGGCCACATCAGGTGATGGTTGCCTTGCTTCCAGTCCAAGGCAGTGCAGAGCGTGATGGTTCATCTGGATTGTCAACTTGACTGGATCAACGTGTCTAGGAGATTAGTCAAACATGCCTGTGAGTGTGCCTGTCATGGTGTTTCAGAGAGGTTAACTAAGGGGAAAGACACATCCTAAATGTAGACGGCACCATTCCATGTACTGGGGGCCTAGATGGAATTAAAGGAGAAAAAGGAGAAAGCTGGCTGCGACACGTATTTTCTCTCTCTCTCTTTCTCTCCCTCTCTCATTCTGCTTGCTAACCACCATGATGTGAGCTGCTCTGCCCCATCATGCCCTCCTTGCTATGATAGATTGACACCTGAAACTATGGTCCAAAATCAAATCCATTAAAGTGTTTTGCTCAGATATTGTGTCAAACTAATACACAGCACCACATGGCAGAAGGGAGTGCATGTGTATATCAGTCTCTCTCTCTCTCTCTCTCTCTCTCTCTCTCTCTCTCTCCATACAATGCCACCAGTATTAATCGTAGGGTCATTACCCTAATAATCTTAACTAACCCTAATCAATTTCCAAGGTTCCATCTCTAAACACCACAGTGGAATTAAGTTTCCATCCTTTTAATACCTTACAGCAGGGATTAAAATTCAGCACTTGAAACATCTGCAGTAGAGACACACTCAAACTGTATTCAAACCATACCACCTGCTGTTTTAATCCTAGCCCCACTTCTGCTCCCATCATTCCTACCTGCCTGAGGGGAAGTTGGCTGAAATTCCTCTATTCCTTCCCCTTTCCTGTCATGGCACTTACCACACCAGTTGGCAAGTCTCTCTTTCTTTGCTTTTCAGCTCCAGGAACTCCCAGAACCACATGTTCTTTATTGCTTTTTCATGACAATAATAATAATAACACAACACATCTTACAAGCCTGTTGTGGAAACAAAACAAGCTTGCATAAAGCAATCAGAAAAAAGCTAAAGACTGTGAAATAGAGGATGAAACAGAGAAATTTATTTTTAAACAAATTTGCCACATCTCCTGCAGCCTAATGAATGTTAGAACCTGCTTTCCAGTCACCTTGGGGGTCTGGATATGCATTTAACCCAAGATTGGCTTTCTTCACTTAAAACCAAGAGGGAATTCCTCCTTAGAGCACAGCTCCTGTGACAGCTTCTGCACAGGCTGTTTACTGAAAGCAGTGCCAATCCTTCTTAGTTAACCAATTTGAACATCCTCTTGTTATCAGAACAATGAGACACAGTCCCCAAAGTCCCACTCACAACTATTGTGGCTCCTGAGTGGTACACCGGACCTAACCAAGGCTTGATAATACTCACAGAATCAGTGACTCGCAGCATAGCTTTCCATCTCTTCCTGGATGAGCGTGATTCCTTACCATGGGTCTTGGTTTCCTTTTCTCCAGATGTATTCTGCCTGCAGTAGCACTCATGATTATTCAGACCATAGTCACATTGTTTTAACAAAAGATCTTTCCTTAATAACAATATTTATCACTATGTTACAGAGTCTAATTTTTCCAAAAGCACATGTCTTAAGCCTGCAGAGAAGTATGGTAGGCAAATTGCCTCTTAAAGACCCTGGAGCTCAGGAGAGAGGATTCATGAGAATTTGAAAGATCCTTGGTGAAAGCTGCACGGTTTAATTTGAGTTTGCCCCAAAAAAGACTCTGACACAAGGGTTATGGCAAGTAGATTTGGAATGGGGTCCCGTGAAATAGCAGCAGAGGAATGAAGAATGGAGATAGGCAAGAAAAAGAACAGAAGGAGGACACCACTGTGGGCAAGTAGGTCTCAGGTTCCATAAGATGCTGTAGAACACATCTCAGAAGTGACTCACCTGAGCAGTGAGAAATCTGTGATATCTGATGCATCCAGTCACATTAGTGTTGGTTGAAAGCTGCACTAAGATTAATTCCTCTGCATTTTCAGCCCACCTGACATCAGGTCAAGCCATGCCAGAGGGAGTCATTAGGTTGAAACCATGGGTTCTTGTAGTAGGAAGCAGTTTCCTGGACCACTGAGCATGGAGGAGATGGGTGAGGGGTGTGGACAAGTGTCTCTAACCTTTGATCCTATAGTCCAGTTCTAAACTGCAAGGTGCATTGTAGGAACAGAGACTCTACCACATTTCAGTTGCATACAGGAAAAGCTGTCTTAGCCGATGGGCAAGCAAAAGAAATTAAGAGTTTATTTAGCTTCATTAAATTTTCAAAAGAGCCATCCAATATCTGCATTTCCAAACTCTTTTCTAGAATTTTCACTCACTCCTATTCTAATTAAGTGAGACTAGTTACCTCAAACAAACTCAACCTACTTATTCTCTCTTTAAGCCTTTATTCAACCTCCCTAAATACTCTTTTCTTGTAAATCCAGAAGTAGGATCCTAGTGCAAGTGATGAATTAAGGAAAGACACCTAACAAGAAACCAGGAAGACAAGGTAGGAAGCAGGGGAAACAAGAGGAAGAAGTCAAGCAAGAGTGTGATTTCTCAAGAAGCCCCAAACTGCAGCCTGTCCTGCAGGGAGCTCTGGGATCTAAATTGCACCCTGAAGGCAGTCTTGTCTCAGCACAGAGGATCTGAGCCATTGGATTCAATCAGAATAGCACAGCAGCACCCAAGGACTGGACCATGATTTCTCATCCTAAGTCAGGCTTCCCAGAGTTCCCTAGCTTACTTGGTTTTCAATTACACTCATTATCATTCAGTCCACCATCATCTTTCAAACAAAAAAAAGACACTTTGAGAGATTGAGCCACTTCTCATTTTAAAATCAGCCCAAATCCTTAAAAGCACATATTTTTAGAGACTTCATTACTTGCAAATGAAGGCCATAACATTTTCCCACACAGAATTTCTTCTTTTTCTGGCATTACTAAGACCTTGAAACTGACAAATCTACTTTGTTTAGGGATGCTGGGTTTTTGTGGAGAGGACAGAAAACAGTTCCAGTCATCACCTAAAGAGGCAATTCCTCTTGCCCTGAGCTTTTTGGTGCCAGGAATTTCCCTGCTTAATACAGACTGCATTAGCCAGAGATTTTTTTTTTGTCTTCCTTTTCTCTGAAGCTCATATGTTGGAGAGGTTTGAAGCATGTTATAGCCTCTTATGGGAGCTTAGAGAGAAAGGAGGAAAACTCAAACCACTTCATTTTATACTTAATTACTTCTTCTGGGAAGACTGTGCCTTGTAATTGTAGTATTTATCCCTGTATATCTGTTATTCTGATTGTTTCTGCTTTGTATGGTCTATTTAGGAGCAAATTTTGGATATAAATATAGAACTATTCTTGACTATATGATTCCAAGTATGCAATCCACACTCCACACATGCAGCACTGGGATGAAATAGAGTATTTATGTTCTATTAATAAAGGTTAAACTACATTGGATGCTTGCTGTGAGCCAGGCACCCAGTATAGCTCTTTATGTGCAGCAACTCAATTAAAATTCATATTAATTTCCCAAGATAGGTAGTATTGTTGTCTATTTAACAAATATAGAGATTAAGGCTCAGAGAAGCTGAGTCACTTCCCAAAGATCACATACCTCATCAACAGAGAAGCTGCCACTGGGCTGCAAACAGCCCGGTTCTCTCCTTGGAGATGGCCAGTTATATTGTACTCATAGCCCTGGTCTGGCTAGCCAGGAGATCAAAGTAAACCACAAACTCCTTAGATCCTAGTTTCTACTTCAGTGAAAAGCCGCTCTAGCATACTATGTATCTATTCATTCATCTTAGAGCATTAAGAGTTTACTGTTCTATATTTTCCTTGTAAGAGTTACTGACAGTAATCAAAGATTGGAAGTATTTCACATTCATCTTGATATCCACAGTTCCTAAGCCATTATTCTAAATGCTTCAAATGTATCAACCTATTTAATTCTCACCACACTACAAGGAAGATACCCTTTTTACCCACACATATTTCATATTTAAGGAGGTCACTGGACCCCAATCATAATCACATTAACAATGTCAGATAGATTTGAACCTAGGTAGTATGGCTCTAGGGTATGTGCTTTTAATTACTATGCTATACAAGAAGGCAATTTACTTTTCTTCTTAAATACAGGTCTAGTTTCAGAATGGATGTTTATATACATATTCATCTCCCTAATCTTCTTCTATTTAGCCCCTTTTTATTCTGTAATCTCCAGTTTCATATAACTAGAAATGTGATTTTCATTACAAACTACTTTAAAAATCCCAGATATTAAATCTAATATATACATTAATATTAGCTTACCATTGATTTTTCCCAAGGAGCAATATCAAAAGAGAAAAGTCTCCCTCTAATTTTCAAGTGGGACAACATTGATTATAAAGGGATAGCAGAATTTGCTATTCCAAAATACTCTGATTTGGTATAATGATTATTCTGAGCTAAAGACAATTGTGAGGGCTCAAACAAAAAGCCCTCTGCCCTCCTATTATTACCCAAAGCAGCACATAAACTTACAAAGGTGTCTCTATACCCCTCTTTTCCAAGAAGGATGAAGGTCACTCACCACAGACAACTTTAGACCTGTCATCTGAAGACAGCATAGAAGAGTTCATGTCACTAGACTCTCCTGTCACTGCTTTTCCATATTATTTGCCTTCCCACAACTTATCATCCCTGGAGACTCTAGGTCCTTTTCCCTTGTCATGTACTTCTCTAAAAGTTAATTGTTCCCTTGATAAAATGATAAATAATTCCCAGTTCTAATCAAACCTTGAGTCATTCATCTCTGAGTCTCTCTCTAGGCATGAGATAAACATGTCAATAAATTTCTATTTACTTTCCTCTTGATACTCTATCTTTTTCTACAGAGTTCCAGCTGAGACCCTATAAAGGAAGAAGAAAAAATACATATGTTTCCTTCCCTACAAGTGTGAGGACATAATCCTACATGGGTCCAGGAAGAAAGTAAGTAATATTAAAAATACAAGACTGTGAATGACTCCAGATTTTGCCTTTAGAATTAAAGGAAATAAGAGTTTTGGTGAAATCAGCACAAATCTAGGATAAGCAAAGTAATCCCATGAGCATCAGATCCCAGATATGTTCATTTCGGACTCTATGGGCCACAGAACCATATTTAAGACATAGGGGCTGAAAAAGCTTGTCAACCAAGTCCCTTACCTTTGAAAAATAGATGTAACAAGTAAGTCAAGAATAAAACTAAGTGAATATGATTATTAAAAATAAATACTATGTTTTTTTTTTAAATAAAGCAGTAAAGTATCTGGAGAAAAAAGAAGACCGGTCAGTTGGGCATTTCATTGAAAAATCCTTTGAGGTACCACCAAAACATATCCAAAAGAATTTCTGACAATCAAAATATTGCCCAAATATTGATAACAACAAATAAAGAGAGCAAGCCTAAAATATAAAAACAGATTCACTTTTTATTCTGACTTCTACCATTTACTTAAAAATCTACAGAAAGAGAACATTCAAGAACCAGACCCAAGTCATTACTTCCTACAAGTATTGGACACATCACAATAAATCATCATAGGCACAGCCAAGTTCACAGCACAGTCATCCTTACCAGCTTGCCTATAATTGTTTTGGGATCCGCTATTAGAGATGCTCTTGTAGCCACAAGTTAAATAAATTAATAAAAGAAAATCAAATTGAGCAGCATTTGAGCATATGATTTGATCCACAAGAATAGTACTCCACAATGAAGATAGATAGGAGATGATGAAGTAGATGATAAATAATGAAAGATTGATAGATCATAGATAGATACCTGTAGATAGATAGATAGATAGATAGATAGATAGATAGATAGATAGATAGATATAGAGATATGGAGAAAGATTTCAATTAATGTCCACTTAAAAAGTTAATCACAATATTCTTTCAGAATATTTGATTGGGAAAAATACTCAAAGCTGTGCAGACTGAAGCAAGTCTATGCATTTTAGTTTCCACTTATAAAAAACTAAGTCCTGAAACTGAGAGTACACCTATAGAAACTTTCATAGCTGTATGACAGAAAAATGTCTTGTCTGTTAAATCTACTAAGAAAAAAAGTTTGCAGTTGCTTTTATGCCTTTTAAATTTTTTCTAGTAATTAATTTTATTATATTTTATAAAAGAATAAGTCTATGATAGACTAGTAATTTAAAAAGAAGAAAAATTTCCCTTTGAGAAGCATGTAATAAAACCATATTTGGTCTTGGGAATGCTATGGCTTCTTCCTTTCTCTTTCTGTGGTTGTACAGATTTGCACATTTAATTAGGTTACCATTTTATCTTCCCAGGTATTGGATGTTCACTGCCATTCCGAGGGGAAGCAGAGGGTGACAAGCTGAGAGAAAGGAAATAAACGACCTTCCTGCTTAGGGAGGTTCAAACTAGAACCATAAACAAAGTCCAGCCTCAGGAGTTCCACAGTCACCACCAGGCCAGTAAGTCACCATTTGCACCAATAGTTCTGACATCCATTTTCTTGCCTCTCCATACTGTTCTTCAGCGACTTTGTTACGGACTTTATTCAGTCGTTTACAGACATCACAAGATCTCTTCTCCCTTAAGATCTGGGCTATAGCTGCTTTGCAGACTACAGGGCAGAGGGGATGTGGGGTCCCTGCCAGGCTTTGGGGAATTGAGTGGAGTTGATCACATGCATCAGCCTCATCTTACTTTGGAGGCACTTCTTACATGGCTGTGGTATGGTGACTGTGCAGGACAAAGCTGACTTCCAATGGGATGTGTGTAGATATTTGTGTGCTCAAAAGTTCAAAGAGTAAAGTCTTTGTACAAAAAGCAAAAAACAAAAAGCCTCAAACCTCACACTGACTCCACCCATCCTACTGCTTATCTCCAAACCACAAAAGGCACACAAAAATACCTTCTTAAGCTTATTTATTTTGCAGTTTCTAAGAGGGGCAATGTTTAACTCCAGGAATCTTCTGATCTTATCCTTCAATGATCTTTGCAGAAAACTGATAATTGACAGACATTAGAAAGGCTCTGCCTTCCCCCTATACCATGTCCCTGTCTCCACTGGTCTCATGAGCAGCCCCCAATCAATGTGATCTATAACCTACAAAATCCCAGATGTGCAGCCATCTCAGACCTCCTAGTGGTGAATAAAGCTTTTTTCTTTTTCCATCTGTCTATCTTTTAAGAGACTTTTTCATCAAAATACAGTTCACTGTGCTCCCAGGCAGCTCTTTAACCAGGGTCTTCTTTATGTAGAGCCCAAGCGTGGGCTAGAATTAGTGGAAAGTTCAGTGCTGTAGGTTACACTTATGCAGGAAAGGACCTCAGAATAGAGGTGAGTTGGCCAATGCACTCTCCAGTTGTTAAGTAGCCATCTGGAGACAGTTTCAATTGTCATGGACCAAGTCCCAATTTCCCCTTGATTTGTGGCCACCCTGTCCATTAGGACAGTAGGAAGGGCTCAGAACCCTGTAGCCAAACTTGTTAAAACTGGCATCCTCTGCTAATGTAGTTGAAGCCAGGAGGCTGCCTACATTCCTTTTTCTTATTTTAAAAAATGATGAAAAATAGAAATATTCATAAAAACCTGTTCCTATTATGTATTTTTCTCTTTTTATTAGCCTATATGAATTGTACAAAGGGATTTCACTGTGATATTTCCAAGGATACATGCAATATATTTTCTTCAAATTCACTCCCTCTATGTGACTCCTCTTTCTGTGACTCTATTTTAAAACATGAAGAAAATGAGATTAGCGACAGATATTTTTCAGATGAGTTTCTACTATACATAACAGATGCATGAAATGAGAACTCTATGGATAGCTACAGTAAACTTGTAGGGTAAAGAGAAAATCCAAGGTATATCAAACATACTATTTACTGTGAACATCTTAGTGATTTCTATTAAGAAAGATCTCTTCAAAATTTCAAAATAAATACAACAAAGTGCAGCCTGCAGAGATATGTTTAATGTAACAAAATGAAAATGTGCACTCAGAGTGTACTATATAACACTGAGTGATTAGCCAGTGAAATGTTACAATGTATAACTGTTAGTATGACTAAGGGAATACCAACACAACAACAAACTTATCCAGCCCCAAAAAAGTAAATACTTAACACCACCAAAAGAAGGGAGATGATGACATAAAAATCATCCACAAAATAATTCAATGATAACAAAAAAGCAGTGAAATTCTGATTAAAATGACAGTAATAGGAATAGTGCTTTGGAAAAAATTATACATTTGAATTTTTAGTTTTTTTTATTGTTGTGCTGCATGAGGGTACATTGTGGCGTTTACAGCAGTCCTTAGAATGTATCAAATATATCATACTTGAATTCACCCCACAACTCTCCCTTATTCCCCTCTCCCCTCATTCCTGGAAGTCTCAACAAGTAACATTTTTATATATACATAAATGTGTATACCATATTTACACTATACTCCCCTTCTACACCCTTTCCCCAACACTTCCCCTCCCAGTGGTACCTCCACCCTCCATCCACAGGACCTGTTCCACCCTCCTGTTCTCCGATTTTGTAGAAGAAAAAAGAAAAAACAAACAAAAATGACTTTTTTGCTTGTTTAAGATACCTACACAGGGAGTTTCCTTGAGACATTTCCATGTATATATGTATTATAATTCCAATTGGTTCATGTCTTCTAATTTTCTTCATTCTACCTTAGTCCCTTTCTTAGGGAGGTTTCAAGTGTTTTAAAATTCTATATTCATTCTTGTATAAAAAATACATCAACCATATTCTCTTTCTTAGTTTCCTTCTTTTACCCTCCCCTCTCATATGTGAACCCCTTTAGCATGACCTGTTTTTTAATCATATTGCTGTATTTGTATTAGGTCTATATTCCACATATGAGAGGAAGCATGTGGCTTTTTGCTTTTTGACCCAGGCTAACTTCAATTAAGATGATGTTCTCCAGTTCCATCCATTTATCTAAAGATAACAAAATTTCATTCTTCTTTATGGCAAATAAAATTCTATTGTATATAAATGCATTTTCTTAATCCATTTGTCAGTAGTGGGGCATCTTGGCCATTTCCATAGCTTAGCTATTGTGAATGGCACTGCAATAAACATGGGTGTGCAGGTGCCTTTGCTCTAAGCTGACTCACATTCCTTCAAGTAATATCTCTAGGAGTGGTATTGCTGGATCTATTTTCAGTTTTGTGAGGAGCCTCTGTACTGTTTTCCATAGTGGTTGCACTAATTTACATTCCCACCAGCAGTGTATGAGGGTTCCTTTTTACTCACATCCTTGCCAATATTTGTTGTTTGTGTTCTTGATGATAGCCAAGTCAACAGGAGTGAGGTGGGATCTTAACGTGATTTTGATTCCCATTCTCTTTATGGCCAGGAATGGTGAGCATTTTTTCATGTGTTTTTTAGCCATTTGGATTTCTTCCTTTGAAAAAGCTCTATTCAGCTCCTATGCCCATTTTTGTATTGGGTCATTGTTTTGGGAGGAATTTAGGTTTTTGAGCTCCCTGTATATTCTGGTTATTAATCCTTTGCCAGATGTATAGCTGACAAAGATTTTCTCCCATTCTGTGGGCAGCATCTTCAATCTAGTGACCATTTCTTTTGTTGTGCAGAAGCTTTTTTTAATTTCTGGTAGTCCCATTTGTCCATCCTTTCTCTTAGTTACTGAGCCAATTGAGCTCTGCTGAGGAAGCCCTTTCGTATACCTATTGCTTCCAGTGTATTCCTTGCACTTTCCTGCACTAGCTTCAAAGTTTCAGGTCTTATATTAAGGTCCTTAATCCACTTTGAGTTGATACTTGTACAGGGTGAAAGACATGGATCTAGCTTCAGCTTTCTGCATGCAGATATCCAGTTTTCCCAGCAACATTTGTTGAAGAGGCTGTGTTTTCTCCATTGTGTATACATTTGAATTTGACCAATTTATCAAACACTGAGAAATATATCAATTAATAAAAGCTTGGACTAAGAAATGAGAAAGCAACTTGCTCTTGGCTTTAAAATATCTATTACTCTACTCTGTGTATAATGAGTTAAATCAATGCCTGGCTTCTTTAGGAGATTGAAAGCTGTGTAAGGATGGCGAGAAGGTCACATTGATGGCTTACTTACTCACAGAGTAACCATTCAGTCACTATTTTTAATGGATGAGAATGTATAGAAAATGAGATTTCTAAGTTGCAAACAAGTTGAAGATATTCTAAATAATAAGAGGTGGACAGTGACTTAAAAATAAAAGCACTTAACTCTGACATATTTGCCAGATAATTTTTCTAACATATTTGCCAAATATCTAAAAGCAAAGGGAAAGGGAAGACAATCATCAACTATTTTGGAGGGTGTTGATGGTACTGTGATTTGAACTTGGGGCCTTATGCTTGCTAGGCAAGCGCTTTACCATTTGAACCACAGCCCTAACTCAAACTATTATTTTTTGAAAGTTAATGAGTGCCAGTCAACATACTTACAAGTATGTGTGAGAAGAATCAGAAGACATTGAAATATCAGTATGTATGGATACGATTACAAAACCAGAAGATAAGAGAAGTATAAATCCTAAAACAAATTAAGCTTTTATTATTGCAGGACCTAAGGAAATACTAAGTATCACAATTAAATTCTTTAGTCCCATAACAGCAAGGATGTGAAAGGAATGGATTCCATTCCAGGCAGGAAAACCTGAGTGCCTAATGAGTGAACTAACAAATTGAAGTTAATTAATACACACACATAAGCTCACACAGACATCCCACCCTACAGGTAGAAAGCCTAGGCATCCACAAAGAGGGGAAACTACAGAAGACTGAAAACACTTTAAAATGCCTGTATTATTCTAAGCAGCAATCCATGTCAGTGATATTATTTCTGAGTCCTATTATCCCCCAACCACAGTCCATCCTAACTTCCACCCCTGATGGATTACCATAAAACTATACATTTTAGGATGCATCCAATGATCTAAAACTTCCACATTCCTAACTCCACTCCTGCCTAGCTCAGAAAAAAAAAGAGCAAACTTCAAAGTCACACACACAGCCTCATCCATTCTTGATGTATTGCCATTTACTTTTAAAAAAATTCACTATTGAGTCTTTTTGTGTGTGTGTGGTATATTTACCATGTTAACAAATTTTTAAGTGTGCAGTAATCCCTCTAATCTTCAGAGAACATGTTTCAAGAAGTTCTTTGGATATCTAAAATCAAAGATTATGTATTTGATTATCCCAAACTGTCTATTTTTACCTCTAATGTACTTGTGACATGTTCCCCCATTCCTGCATTTCTCTTGTTATGTGCCTTTTTAATAAAGCATTTCCAGATTTTTCCAATTTAAACTACATATTCCTTCATCATAAAGCATCTGATCTTATATACTGCTATTTTCTGAGAACTTCACTTGATCGTGGCATGTCTAACAGGCTTTTCTTGTACTGAAATTTAAGTCTATGCTTTTCT